GAGATGTGGATACTGCCCAGGTATAACGAATTAAACCCGCTACCTGAAATTATCTATATAGGTTTTATATTAAAATTTGAACATGTAATTTTATTTCACAATGAAGATTTTGAAAACGAAAACTGTTGGCTTTTTATGTTCCCAAATTTTGAGATTTATTTCTTCAAGCAAATACAAGGATAAAAAATTATCTTCTATCCAGTAAATTCAAAATGACAGCTTGTATTTTTAAAAATCTTATTACACAATTATGGAGTGTTCGAATTCGTTATTAAAATGTTCAAATACTGATGAAGGAATACGATTGTAAAGATTTTTGATGCATTTATTTAGGAAAAACCCCTCCATGTGTGGACGCTATTCCTGACTGTGCTGATTATGGGAAAGCGATATGTGGGAACGGGAACTTCCAGGGATTCCTTCGGGAAAACTGTCGTAAATTCTGTGGCTACTGCACAGGTGAGTTATCGGCTTATACAAATTAACCGTTTGTCTATGTTCTTTAAATTAAATGAACATATATAATTGTATGTAACACGTCATAGTTCTCTATATGTATTATGGTTTTTTAGAGTACATGCAAAATTAGTTTTCGATCCCATATCGGGATGATATATGCAATTCGTAATCGAACACCCATGACGAGTGACAACAAAATTATTTATAAACATTCCAACAAACCATTATACATTAATGTTACATGTAGTTGCTAGCACTACCCAAACAACAACCACGACAACAAAAACAACAACCAAAATACCCTCCACCACAACAAAAACTGGCACAACACCAGCACCAGCTACAACCAAAGCTGTTGTCTCCAGGACGTCCACGACACAGATGATGTTACCCACGGGAGCAGGTAACGCAATTTTTTGACCTCGTGAGTCCCAATAATCCATGGTTTTGTGCAATATGTTTGGATATATTTTTAAAAATACAGTAAACTAGTCAGCTGTTGTGCTGACTAGTTTACTGTATTTTTAGCTCTACTGGTCAGAGACCAGAAGAGCTTATGCGATAGTAATGCGTCCGTCGTCCGTCCGTCCGTCTGTTTGTCTGTCTGTCTGTAAACAATTTTTCAAAACGCTACTCCTCCTACAGTTTTGGTCTGATTTAGATATAACTTGGCACACAAGTAGACTACACAAAGATACATAAAATAGTGCATCGGATTTTTATTTCGATGACCGGTGTTGCCATGGTTACTAAAAATAGAATTTTCTGTGAAATTCCTTTAAAATGCTACTCCTCCTACAATTTTGATCTGATTTCAATATAACTTGGCACACAAGTAGACTACACTAAGATTCATAAAATAGTGCATCGGTTTTTGATTTCGATGAACAGTGTTGCCATGGTTACTAACAATAGAATTTCCTGTGAAATTCCTTTAAAATGCTACTCCTCCTACAGTTCTGATCTGATTTCGATATAACTTGGCACAAAAGTAGACTACACAAAGATACATAAAATAGTGCATCGGATTTTGATTTCGATGAACGATGTTGTCATTGTTACTAAAAATAGAATTTTCTGTGAAATTCCTTTAAAACATTACTCCTCCTACAGTTTTGATCTGATTTCAATATAACTTGGCACACAAGTAGACTACATAAAGATACATAAAATAGTGCATCCATTTTTGATTTCAATGAATGGTGTTGTCATGGTTAATAAAAATAGAATTTTCTGTGAAATTCCTTTAAAACTCGACTCCTCCTATAATTTTGATCTGATTTCAATATAACTTGGCACACAAGTAATCTACACTATTATACATAGTATAGTGCATCAGATTTTGATTTCGATGAACTGTGTTGCCATGGTTACTAAAAATAGAATTTCCTGTGAAATTCCTTTAAAACGCTACTCCTCCTACAGTTCTGATCTGATTGCAACATAACTTGGCACACAAGTAGACTACTGTAAGATATATAGAGTACTTCATCGGTTTTTGATTTTGACGAACAGTGTTGCCATTGTTACTAAAAATAGAAATGTGTAAAATTCCTTTAAAACGCTACTCCTTCTACAGTTTTGGTCTAATAGCAATGGCTTCTTTTCTCATCCTTTGTTATAAGCACAAACAAGTGGAGCTACAGTCTCAACAGAGACTTCTGGTTAAATATATATTCAATATTCCCATAGATTGCCGAGATGTACGCAGTGATTGTCAGAAACATCGTCACGCCTGTGTCGGGGTGTTCCAAAGATGGGCCGTGAAAAACTGTGCAGACACCTGCGGATATTGTTCAAGTATGCACTATACACCAGCTTATGACACAGTATATATATAGACTTGTTTGGTTTGTTTTAATTTTTATAGAGGTGATATTTCAACTGTGGTTGAAAGGAGTATTTGCTTTGAAAGTTTGAATACATCATATATGCAAAATAACTTTGATAAGGAAAAAGTCACATACATTGTATGTTCAGAGACAGATTATTGGTAGAGAATTCTGATTGTATCTTTGACAGACTCTCCACTGTGTGAGGATACCGTAGATTGTACTCATCTCCCTGCAAGTCTCTGTACGGAAACAAGTCTGCAAGACTTCGCCATGACGTCGTGCAGAAAGTACTGTGGATACTGTATGTAACTTGATATATATCTGATATCTTGATATATAATTAATGCAATTTCATGCATTTGCAATGCATGATTCAACTTTCCAATGCTTTTCATTTTACAAATTTTCTTTTTTGAAGGTACAAATAAAATAACACAGGCAGCAAACATGACAACACAAGCTGTTCCTATGACAACCCCTAGTTCGTCCATAACATCAACGAGTCCCATGAAAATTCCAACGAAAATTGTCAAAACTACATTTCCAGTCACAGGTCTCTCCCATTTTGTCCTTCATTTTAATATGATCTCTCAAGTTTAAAAATGACACAGTTTCATTAAAAAAAACTGGCGTATAACAAGATTTACTAATTTTTGCTTGTCTGTTATACACATCACGTTTGCTTAGCATTACTTTCTCTTTACGTTCCTGTATTTGTTAAAAATTTTAAATTACATTTGGATTTCTTATACCGCATGTGAAAATTGGATCTGGTTAACTGTTTTCTCTGACAATTTTTATTGCAATCATCAGAATAACTATGAAATATCAACGATATGTCAATATACTAGTATTCAGTTGGTGTATTCTTCAGATGGATGTCCAACCTGCAGCAATGAGAAAAACCTTACAGTTTGCTTAGAAAATGTCACAAAATGTGGATCAATGGATGAGGTATAGTCTTCTTGAAACTAAGTTATTGTCACAGATATCAACACAGACTAATGACTATAGAGGTTTTATATTTATCCTTAATTATTACAGGGATGTAGCCTAAATCTGCAATCAGGAACAATAACTGCTGGCTGCACAGCTAACATGTGGGCAAGTGAAGAAAATGGACATATTTCAAAAATTATATTATGATAAATTAAAAAAAAAAAACTCTGAATATTTATTAAATGCATGACAATGTCAATTAATCAGCATTTTTAAAAAAATCAATCTTTTTTCAGGCATGTTTAAAATTAGAAATGATGAATGATCGAGAATGTAACATAACCCAAGGATCCATTCCCAGCTCCTATAAAAATTACACTTGTCACTTCTGCTGTCAGGGATCAATAAACTGTCCGGCCATATACACATTTCAATCAGGTATCACGTTACACGAAAAAACATCAAATAATTTTCATCATGAACAATTCAATCAATTTTTGAGTATTTTTTCAGTAATATCATTTTATTTTTTAGATCTTCCTGCTGAAATGGTTGGATAGCAAAGAATATTTGAATTAAATTTATTTAGCATATACATGTAACAATGTAATTGTGTAATGTACATGTAATATATCATGGAGCATTGTAAACATATATCTTAGTTTCATGTGCCATTTGGTAACCTGATGCATCAACAAAAAATACATTCTCAAGATTTACAAAAAAAGTTGTATACACAAATTTGTATAATTTCAATAAAAGTACCGGTGTAGCATAATATTTTGATACCGCGATATATTGAACCCGGGTTCAAAATATCGCATAATATTTGGAACCCGGGTTCACTTTTTCGCTGTGATATATTAAACCCCCTTATAAAATATTGAACCCCTACCTTTTTCATTTCAGAGATAGGGGGTTCAAAATATTATGGCCATAAAATATTGAGTCCCCCTACCCATTTAATTTTACAGGGAGGGGGTCAAAATATTATGGCCATAAAATATTGAGTCCCCCTGCCCATTTAATTTTACAGGGAGGGGGGGTTCAAAATATTATGGCCATAAAATATCAAGTCCCCTGCCCAAATTTATAAGGGAGGGGGGTTCAAAATATTATGGCCATTAAATATCAAGTCCCCCTCCTATTTGAATGCATGAAGGAGGGGTTCAAAATATTATGGCCATAAAGTATTGAGTCCCCCTGCCCATTTAATTTTACAGGGAGGGGGGTTCAATATTTTATGGCCATAATATTTTGAACCCCCTCCCTCATGCATTCAAACAGCAGGGGGACTCGATATTTTATGGCCATAATATTTTGAACCCCGGGTTCAATATTTTATAGGGGGGTTCAATATTTCGCAGCGATATTTTGAACCCGGGTTCAAAATATCGCGGGGTTCAATATATTATATGACACCGATATCACATTAAATCCAACATTCAATTTTGTGTTGATGTTTCCAGCAGGTATTTTTTTCTAGTTCAATCCAAAAATCTTTCTTTTGCTAACACACAAAGAAAAAACAATAACATGTTCATATTTCATTTCAATATGATTCTGCAACAGATAATGTGATGCTTGAAGCACGTGCAGCAAAAATAAAACATAATCTCATAAATATCAGAATTTGTATTCATTGCTACAAAACTTGCAACAAATATATAGTATTTCCATCTAATGTAGATGTTTGATACAAAAACAAAACAATAATTTAAAATCGAGCTACAGAGGTAATATATTAATTCAGGTGAGATTTTGGCAAACAACTTGAATTTTAAGACATAGGAATTGGGATAAAAAAAGTAAATAAATGTATCAAACTCATTTAGCAAACAATAAAAAAAAATATCAATCAAAAGAAAATCTTGTTCATGACACTTCTGATAAAAAAAAAAAAAAACTAACACAAAGTATTATGCAGATCGTGGTTAACATTGAAAATGTTCCAAGCATTTTTATTACAAAACATAATTTAACAAAATGTGAATTGCAGAATTCTGTATAATGAACATATTTTTTTCATGCACTGAACTGATGGAAATTCATATATCTGAGAGCTATAAGTAATGCAAATTCCTCAATACTGTAAATTTCTATAAATTAAGAGGTAGAAGAAAGATACGAAAAAATCTACATTTCACTGTAACTTATGCCTCCTAAAATTATATTTTAGCACTATATCAAAAGCAAATAATAATCTAATAACTAACAAAAATGAAAACAAATATAAATAAAAACCACTCTTTCTTGAGCAAATGCCATGCTATTTACATGTTTTAAATGCATAATACACATTCATAAAATTACAAACCAGGTTAAAAACTCCCAACATTATATGTGGATTTCAACAAAGAAAAAAAATAATATTGATCAACAAAAGTATCAATGAAAATTGATAGCGAGTATCAAGCAGTTTGTATTGTACTGGTTCATATTATATAACTTTGAGATTCTGATATCAATACCCATTTAGTTTTACACTTACATTTTTTTCAGATCATTTTAAATTCACATGCTTTGAGCATCAATTGATCTTGAACTTCACCTCACATGCAATAGATAATAATACCCCCAGTAAAATCTGAAGATATGTTAAATATGAATTTATAGGAGTAATGAGTTGTACACCTTAATTATGATATGTGTTTATATACCGGATAAATGTTACATTACATGCTGATCACTGATACAACATTTCATCTGTTTGAAAACTCCGGAGAGTCGAATGTTTTCATGTTCATTGTGAAGATTTACTTCATAGAGGGCAGCATCCAAGTTTCAAGGGGGACCTTTGATTCTTTCACACACTGCATCGACACAAACCTGGTCAGATAATAGGGGCCACCGGCCTTGTCATTGGTTCCTGTCAAATAAACAATTGATGTTACAAACTTCTTCATCTCAGATAACAAAGAGATCTGACAGCCATAGTACTCAATTGAGTCTGAAAGCTGTTACTTTGTACATCAAACACATTGTTTGAGGTAGATTTTAATGTTAATATAGTAGTCAATTCTGTTTTCCTTTAAGCATGCTCACAAATTCTCCCTAGATGCAGTCACCATCTTATATGTTCATAGTGTGATGAAGATTAAAGTTTTAAAAAAAACACATAGAAAACTAGTGCTAATTGTAACGGGAACCGTTACAGATGTTCCCCAAACGCTCCCCAACTCCCTCTTAGTTCCATATTCCCTGTAATATACTATATGTGAAAGCATTCAGTCCAAAAGTATTAAAAATCACTTATTCAAGTGTATTTCTAATTTCATTCTTTCCAAATGCATGCACGTTAGTGCACGTGCATAATGACCACGCCTTCTTGTAGGAGTCCCTTATATTTATTTATGTTCTGAATCCCATCCTGTTAGGTTGAAAAACAAGGGAGTTATAGCCATTTGAAGTTTCAGCCAATCAGATTGCAGCACACGTGCATGCGCGTGATTTCTTGATTATTTTTCTATATCGCATTGTAGGATATCCTAATGAATGATTATGTTTTAAATTTCAAAGCATTTCGTCAAAAAAACAAAGGAGATAAAGTCATTTAAAGTTTCAGCCAATCAGATCGCAGCACACGTGCATGCGCGTAATTTCTTGAATTTTTTTGTATATCATATTGCAGGGCATCCTAATGTATCACTGTTTTAAATTTCAAAGCATTTCGACAAAAAACAAAGGCGATATAGTCATTTAAACTGTCAGCCAATCAGATTGCAGCACACGTGCATGCGCGTGATTTCATGAAACTTTTTCTATATCATATTGTAGGATATCCTAATTCATGACTATGTTTTAAATTTCAAAGAATTTCGTCGAAAAACAGAGAAGATACTGAGATTTTTGTTTTAGCCAATCAGAGCGAAGCGCACGTGCATGCGCGTGAGTTCGTGCTAATTTGACAGTGTCACATTATGTACACTATTAACGTATCCTTATATAATGAGTTTCAAAGCATTTAATCGAAAAATGTTAAAGTTATTGCTTTATTAAATATATTAGTCATTTCACTCATATCACGCGCCCGCACGTGCAGGCATATACGCGCAAAATGACCTTCGTTCCGCACACCTACACTACACACCTATTAACCCTAAAAAGGTTTTAGGTCAGTTGGGTGAACAGTTTCTGAGAACACTCGCGGACAAAAAAGTACCGGAGAACAAATAAGAAAAAAAAAAAAAATAATAATAATAAGAAACCGAGTAAAAACAATATGTTCCCAAACTCCGTTTGGGGAACATAATTACCAGCATTGAGAATTTTTCATGGCAAAGAATATGTACGACAAAAGCAAAACAAGCTGTAACCAGATATGTTAATTGAATGCTCTTTAACTTAATTTTTTTGGAAGGGGGGGGTGTTAAATGTTTTACCAACCTGACAAGCGATCTCCACCAAATGGTTGCTGGCCCACCACCGATCCTGTTGATTTGTCATTAATGTAAAAGTTTCCTGCCACGTCTTGGAAGGCGTCTACTAACTCCTCCCTCGCTTTACTGTCGGATAAAAAGGTATTTACAATATAAACGTTTAAAAAAATTTACTGAAGTGTGTTCTCTCTTCCTTTTATGTATCTATTTTGCGAATGATATGATTCTGACAAAGTTTTAATTGAGAGGAGCCAAGAAGGGACATGTATACTTTTATTAAGATGTGACATACAAGCATTTTTTTTTTTTTATAAAATGTATCTGCTATAAATAGGTCATGATTTCAACAAACTTGAATCTACATTATCTGTAGATGCTTCTGTATATACATGTAAATATGATTAATTATGGCTTTTCTACTCTTGAGAAGAAAGTTTAACATATTTCTATAAGATAAATATACTGTACTCTTATGTAAAAATTTCACTGCCAATTGTGGATCGACCCTACCACCTGAGTGTCATAATTCATATATTGAACCCTGTGACCAATATTGTAAATTTTTGTTTTTCTAAAAATGTTTTTCCAGATCGTATGAAAATTGCACAAGTGGTTCCACTTCACAAGAAGCAAAGTATTTTGGAAAAAGGAAACTATAGACCAGTTAGCATTTTACCTACATTGTCAAAGATTTTTGAAAGGGTTATTCATAGTCAATTGTCTGATTTTTTCAATTGCCATTTTAATGATATGTTATCAGCTTTTAGACCAGGGTATGGTTGTCAGAGTGTGTTGCTAAAGATTGTTGAGGATTGGAAGTATGCCCTTGATCATAAAAAATATACAGCAGCAATTATGATGGATTTATCTAAAGCATTTGATTGTATTCCACATGATCTAGTTTTAGCAAAACTTAATGCATACGGTTTTACAAATGCAGCTACTAGTCTTATCTCAAGCTATTTAAGCAATCGAAAACAGTGTGTAAAACTGGGGGAAGTTTGTAGCGATTTTTTAGAATTGTACAAAGGTGTTCCACAGGGTTCAATACTTGGTCCTGTTATTTTTAATATTTTTATCAATGATATTTTTCATTTTGTGTCAGATTGTGATCTTTACAACTATGCCGATGATAACACTCTCTCAAACTCAAGTGACGATATTACATCACTAAAAAAATACTTTGGAATCAAATTGTTCGAACTTAGTTAAGTGGTTTGGAGATAATCAAATGCAAGCAAATCCCGATAAATTTCAAGCTATATGTCTAGGAAAGAAAACTAAACAGGAAAACATTTGTTTTGAAATTGATGGTAATATGATTCATCTGGAAAACGAAGTAAAATTACTTGGTGTTACTATAGATTTTGAGCTTAAGTTTAGCTCTCATATTTCAAACATTTGTAAAAAAGCTTCACAACAATTAAATGTACTTAAAAGAATAGGGGTACACCTGACCAAATTAGGAAAACTAACTATTTATCATACATTTATCATGTCAAACTTCAACTACTGCCCATTAGTTTGGCATTTTTGTGGTGAACGAGAAACAAGAAAAATGGAAAAAATACAGGAAAGAGCACTGCGGTTTGTTTATGATGACTACAAAAATTCGTATAGTTATCTTCTGGACAAATCAAAATTACCATGCCTCAAACTCAGGCGTATTAGAACATAGGCCATAGAATGTTTTAAGATTTTAAACAAGCAAAGCCCGTCTTACCTGCACGATTTTATTCATATTAAAGAAACACCTTATTCTTTTAGATACACAAAAACTGCTGTTTTACCAAAAACAAGATCAACAACATATGGGTTGAAGTCTTTTAGATATGAGTCTGCAAAACTTTGGAATTCTTTACCAGAATCTTTTAGAAATATTACTTCTTTTAACCAGTTTAAATCCAACATAAATAGTTGGTACGGAAATTGTTGTAATTGCTGTGCCTGTCGCTAATTTTATTTTTTAGAAACTAGTAAACAGGGTTTAAGTTATTTTAGGTTTGTCAGTTTTAATGTGGTGAATAATATGTCATTGTAAAGCACCATGGAGGAATAGTGATATTTTAGTAGTGTGATATCGATGTAATATTTAAAAACTGTTTCTTGTTTATTATGTATGATTGTTGTATTTTAGGTAACATTATTATGTAGTCGGAAAATAGCTCTTCAGAGCTAATGTTTTTTGTTTGATATATCCGACTTTAAATAAATATTATCTTATCTTATCTTATCTTATCTTCAAAGTTGAAGAAAAACCTGAATGAACCTAGATTATCTGAGGATGCTTCCATGTAAATATGATATATAATATTATCATGGCTTTTGAAAAAGCTTATTGAATGAACATGTTAAACAAGTACTTACGGCTCCTTTGCAAAAACAGCCCCCGTCAGAGCAAATGGAGAGGTCTTGGTAGCCAGTTGAGCGTACTTCATGTATTCATCATCAGGGTATGGAAACACAGTCAAAACTGGGCCAAAGATTTCCTGAACAATGGAGGACAGAAAGATGATTCACTTTAAAACAGTCTGAACAATAGCTGCAATAATAGAGCTCTCCCCCCCCTTTTTTTTGGGACATCAGATTTAAAAAAATTGGAGAGGGCTATATTATTGCAGCTATCTGAACAAGTATTAAATCATCATCAACTTGAAAAATAAAACACAGTGAGACTAATTGCTAAGTGCTAAGATCCATGTACACATACACTTATGCCCTTCCATTAAAAATCATTTGAAATTTCCTTACCTCCTGCATTATTTTATCTTGTGGGTCCGATGTCTCAATTATGGTGGGTTCTACGAAATAACCTTGACTGAAAAAGAAGAGACCCATGAGTTAAAAAGCTCATCAGAGTAATTATGGTGCAACTATTCTTCAGCAGCAGAATTTTGTATTCCTATGTAGAATTTTGATTGTCTATTGTGGCCCTACCCCAGGGATCATGCTTGGAACAAACTTGAATATGCACAACCTGATAACATTTTCTTAATACAATTTGACTACTTATGGTTTTGCTATTCTTAAAATTACTTTTCCAATATACATAAAACTGTGATACCCTATTGTGGCCCTATCCTCATGGGTCCTAATTTTTTAGCAAATTTGAACCCATCCTACCTTGTACACGTAATGATTTTCCTGAAGATACTTCTGCTTTAAATTTAGTATCTAGACTTTTCTGTTCAAAAGAAGATTTTAAAGAATAATTTATATACATTCCAAAGTAAAACTTTGATTGCCTACTGTGACCCAGGGGACATGATTTGAACAAAACTGAATCCATTTAAAGCTCCAATTTGTTTTATCTTTTCTGCACCATGTGGTTCTAGAGATGTTTTTCAAAAGGTGCAATTATATTTTCAGTAATTTTTAACAATCTCCACATAAAAGAGAATATGGCTCTTTTTGACTGGTTTGGTTAAAATTGGCCCTGGTCTGTAGTTCTTGAAAAAAAGTCAGAAATATGAAAAGCTTGCAATGACCATGTGGACTGATAATGGACATATTTGATCAGATCATTAGGGACTTTGATTCAGATGAGCTACAAAATGGATCAACATGGAAATTCATCCTTTAACCAAACTGCAACATTTTTAAATTTAAAGTTGACATACATTTAAATGTGTTTTTTACCCTAAAACATTTTTCTAAAAGACTTTATTAAACAAAAACAGAAAGTAATGCGCTATCCAGATGGATATGATATTAATTAAGCACATATTCCTTACCTATCATCACACTGACCTCCCGCTATCACAGTCAGGTTTGGGGAGTCCTTTGCATAGTCTATATAGGACTTGATTCTTTTAAATGCCTGTTCATGATAAAATATGAACCCTGGATTACATTTACAATGTGTTCTTGCACGAATTTCATTCGTAAAAGCCAAAATTATGTAGATAGTAATTTAGTACATATATCTACAAGAAGGATAATTTTTCTTAATTTTAGGTTATTGTATTATATTATTTTTTATAATATATGAGAATGAAATATTCATGTTTATAGGCCTTTCAACTAATTTTTCAAGTTGCACATATGGTAAAAAACATTGTATAGATAGATTGATAGGTACATGAAATTATCAAAAAAGATAATAACTTATGCATACTTTTAACTACACCATTAAAGGGTTTAATAATTTATAATTGACTTTTCCGATGTTGTGTTTAAGGACAGGTAACTCAGGTGTGAAAAATGATCAACTAAGTGCCGATTTATGAGTTATCGTTTATAGGAATGACATATAGGCTGCTTCAGCATTGGTATTGTTATACACAAAAGGGTTCCTTACATTGTTTTGTACACAAAAATCTTTGACCAAAAGAAAGAGAATGCCTTCACTCTACCTGAAATAACAGGGTCAAATGAATGGGGAACAGACTATATTCAATAGTTTTAACTCTCTTTGACGATTCTTATGAAGAAAAAAATTTAATGTCATGTTTTTTGTGTTCGCGCTTTTTCGCTTCCTGTGTAAATATATATATTTTTTACAAGTAAATGCAACAATTGATCATCTTATTTGTGTTACCAAGCACGAAGGGGAACGACCGAGTATAAAAATTTAATTAGGTTAGAACTGAGAAGGGGGGTAGATTTCACTTTTTATTTTAATTAAAAATTTTAATTATATGCAGTAAACCGGTGTCCGCAACTATACAATAAATAAGTTTAACATTGGTGCTAAATTTTAAAACCACTGGATTCTACTGAGAGCAAAGAATTACTTGGGAAATGCTAAAAACTGCCTTGCGTGTAAACAGTTAGATACCCCGAGCCTGCTCTAAACAAGTTTCAGCAGTGAGTTATCGTTCATAACACCGACCCCTAGCGGCAGTTGAAAGGCCTAATGTTTAGAAGCTCTTGCATTTATAGACTTGTCTTGTCACAGGTAATATACATGTAAATTGTAAAAGCCCTAACTTTTCCCAATCAAAAGTCATGACCAGGTTAAAGTATTGGAAAAGTAGGTCAAACTTAAAGATCAAAGTCACAAGGTCAAAAAACATATTGTATTTAGAAAGGTCTTGTCATAAGTAATATACATGTGTAATATGAAAGCACTATCTCTTCTCATTAAAAAAAATATGACCAAGGTTTAAGTTTTTGCGACAAATGGACTGACAGATGAATGAGATTTAATGTCCTCTCTCTTTTGTGAAAGCGGGGGACAAACACTGTACACTTTCAAAAACATTGTCAGAGATAACTGTGTACCAACCTTGTCATCAATAACAGCTGATAGGAAGACTGTGTTGTCTAAAGCAGACCCTAGTTTGATTTGACTGAGGATATCCAGCATTTTCCGCTTCACCTCTGGCCACATGGATTGTGGAATGTACATTCGTGAGCATGCTGAACATTTTTGTCCTCCATACTCAAATGCTGACCGTATTGTACCAACAACTACTGATGTTACATCTGCTGATTTGTGGATGAAATGGAAATTTTTTCCTCCACATTCTGAAATAAATACCAGAATTTTCAAATGAGATGGTAGCTCTACTGATTTGCACTGCAATTTTTCATGAATAATTTTATTGGTATTTACCTCCGATCAACTTTGGGTATGAAATGTAGCTGTCTAAGTTTTGGGCAACTGATTTCCATATAGTTTTAAATGTTCTAAAAAATAAAATGAAGTTTTTAATAAAACATTAAACACAAGACCTGAACAAAAGAAATAAATGTAAAATAAACATTTGCAATAAAAATTTGAAAATTTTCTTTATACATTGATATTAAAAAAAGTACTTTACAAAAAATAAATGACTTCACCTAACACTGCCAGTGAAATTGACACCTGCTAAATTGGGAGATTTTGTGATGACATCACCAAACACGGGTCCGTCTGCTGGCACGAAATTAATAATACCAGGAGGGAGGCCTGCTTCTCTGTAGATTTTGTACACTGTGTAGTTAGACAGCATAGCAGTGTCGGAAGGCTTCCACAGACAAACATTGCCCTGTAACGAGTTTTACATAGTGTTGGATTTTGTTTGCATAAGGTTATGCAAATTGCTAAAATGAGTATTTTAACTCTTACAGTACAGGCAACGTGGATCCCGTATTTCCCGCGTCCCCGCCGCGGTATAATCACAACGCGGTATCTGGCCAGGTAGACAGGTAAACCGCGTTCCCTCCGCGGGAAATTCATCACTTACCTGTCCCCGCCGCGGTTAAATCATCGATGAATTACTGACAATTAGTATCGTAAACAAACGGGAGTTATCTCCCCGAATTGTAATTTGCGAATTTTCCCTGTAACAAAAAAAAAAAAAAAAAAAAACAAAAAAACAAAAAAACCGTGTGTTTATTAATTAATTTTGCTATGAATAGAATTTAAACTAAGAAAAAATAAGTTTATTTTTGTTTCTAAAATTACATATCAATATTTGAAATTGAATAGAAAATTTTATTAAATTGTTACGTCTTTGCAATGGTTAATTATTTTGTGTTATTAAGAATCTATCAAGAAACAAAATTAAATACTAGAAATTTTAATTAGTTTTTTTTTTAAATCTTCATATTATATGCAAACTGTAATAAATGTTGAACTCAGACTGTTTAAGTTTCGATAAACGATTTTCAGCATTCATTTGAAAAAAAAAGATGTACATCTTTTAAAAAATGTACATCTTCATAGTTCATATTGTTTATTAATTAAGTTCGATTTATTGTATATAAAATGTACAAGCTTTTTCTTAAAGTGTCAAATTACCGGAAAACATCCGATGACGAGCATTTGCAGTTACATGTAGTGGGCCCGTGAACTTAAATTTTCTTTATCCAAGATATCAAGAAAAAAGTTCTTTTCTTCTTTATTTCTCATCGTTTATGTTCTGTTCCCAAATTAAGAAAACTTTTCTTTAATTTATTTCCCTCTTTTATATAAATGTGCAGGCATTTTTCTCAAATTGTCAAATGACTGAAAAGCATTCGATGGCGAGAATTAACTTTGAGCACGTGAACTTTATACAAGAGATCAAGAAAAAATATCGTTTTTCACCTTCATATTAACATGTTTTACTTTTTAAAACAATGTCTTTCTTTTGAATTTTAATATTTCTCGATTTTCGTGTTCAATAGATAAGATAGGATGTGTAGGTGTAATGATAAACTTCACAGACGAAATTATAGTTTATATTAATAAATATTCAATGCAAAAATTCATATATTTTTGTTTTCTTTGACAAATTCTGTTTCTTTGTGTATTACGTATTAGCCGCGATCATTTCCTGTGTATAGGGATTAGCAGTGCCTGAGCAGGAAACGACATGCCCTGGGGGTTTCACACCTGTCTTAGAGTTTACCTTGAGTAACGCTCGCTGGATGTGTACATCGTTGTCTAGCCATTCAACAACACATTTGATTCATTGTTTCATTATTATTTCATCGATATCATTTTCAGATGCGATATTAGCCTTGGAATTTGTGTCAAATTATTGTTGCTTTTTTTAAACGGAGTGTATAAAAAGAATAAAAGTAAAAAAAAAACAACCTTTTAAAAGAAATTAATGAAGTATTTGATATTAATTAAATCAAATAATGATCCATTGCTATGTTATTTCGTGTAAATTTATACCTGTACCAGTTAGTAGAGAGAGAGAGAGAGAGAGAGAGAGAGAGAGAGAGAGAAGAAAAATATCAATATATTAAGGCACGTGCATGATCGTTTTTCCTCCTTTTTGATCAGTATATCAATTTCTTAGTCTAGCGAATAAAACTACCGCTGATTTATCAGTTTATTGACCATTTGTGGATTTTGTCTAAGTTTTATTGTTACTTGTTTATGATCCACTTTCTTCTTTCGTTTAGCATATGTACATGACATGTAATTTGAATTACTTCCCTTTTTGTCGCCAGATTACAACGACAGATTTTTTTTTGGGGGGGGGGGATGTATTTTTGTTATAAAATTTGATTAAGAAAAACACAGTATATTAAAATTGTCGAATTATTGAAAATATTTATTTGAAACAAAAAATTTAAAAAGGATTCTGTCTTCAACAAAAACATTGAATTCTTTATTTCATGCATTTCAATCCATGAGCTACACATGAAAAAAAAACGGCTTCGTTTTACAATGTCGTAGGAAAGCGCATACAGGTAATACACTCAGGTAACATCCTGTGTATATAGTTAGTATGTACACTAGACAGCGTCGTTCCCTCGGGACTTCTCATCCGCTTTGAGTAAGCTACACTCCACACCAAACTTACCTGAGGAAAACCGAACGGTAACACAGACATCTGAAAACTTGAAGCTTGGCAACTTGCTGATTAAAATAAATTAATTTCTGTGTTGTGTGTTCAAATATTTTAAGGGCCCATATTTGTGTTTGTGTTTTATTTGAACCGGAGAAATCTGAAATTTGTTTATGTTCATTGACATGATTTTAGTAATTTTCGAAAAGAGCATAAAATAGAAAAACATTCAAATACTAGCTATGATATTATTGATATTCTGAATAGAATGACCTGTGATTATTTTATTAACAATAACACCCCCCCCCCCCAAAAAAAAAAGAAACACAAAATAAAAAACAAATAAAAATCGTCGATATTTAGTTCATAGTCTTACAGTGTAGCGCATGATAATGGAACAACGGTATTCCTACACTTACGCGTGTTTTGTTAAAATTTAATTGTAATTGTGTATCACTATCTATCATCGTTTTTCATGCTATTATTTTCATGCTGTTATATTTATAACAGACATGTATACAGAAGTAACGGTACTTTTCTAAATGAAACCAAATGACTGATATAATCTCGCAGATAAATAAACACATAGCTACATGTAACTGCAACTGCACGGGCTAATTGTGAACACCGGATTACACCAGTGCATATAAAGAGAAGCGATATCATGGCATTCTTTAAATTTTAATTATACCTTTTTAGCAATTTGAAGATCATTTGGGGTGGTATTATTGATTTTGAAAATAAACTTTAAGCTAATATATTCGATAAATTATTCGACTTTATTTCATCCCATACTGTACATGTATTACTGTTAACAGACGTGTTTGAGAATTAATTAATTTTGAGTGATTATTAGTACGAAAAAAATGTTTTTTATTAAACAATTTGATAAAACTTAAAAAATGAATTTTTAAAAAATCCATGTAATGGTGTAAATCTATAATATCAATGTGCTCGTAATCCCCCCCCCCCCCTCATTTCGACACAATTAAAAATCGACAATACTTTACAGGTAAGAACATCTTAGCTGAAGAATAACGGTAGCTGGCCCCACCGCGGTGTAAACACGGTCTCAGGTAGCACCGCGATCAAAACCCGCGACGGTGTAACGCGGAAAGGATTAATACACCGCGGAGGGGACGCGGTCTAATACGGGATCCGCGTTGCCTGTACTGTATTTAATTTGTTCCTTGGAACTTAGATCCACCCCTTATATGTAGATCCCCCTCACATTGTTCTTATGCATCGAATATAACTCACTTCATATTGAATAAATAATATCCTTGACTAGAGTTTACATTAACTTAATTTAATTGACAATAAATATCTGCGATAATAAATCAAAAGAATTATAGATCTATAAATGTTGTTTCAGAACAAAATTCCTTTACTTACCATCAAAGCAGGAGCAGAACAAAGATGGCCACCAATGGCTGTAAAGTTGAATGGAGTGATGGCTGCCCAAAAACCCTAAATAAAAAAATATTCTGTATGTTTACATACATCATAAAGTCATTTCAAATCATAATTTTTCTTAATAATAAAAACCTAAATGCTAGCGTGTTATTAATGAAACCATAAATGGTTATCTTGTATGAAAATGATGATCCATATGATACTATTAAGGTTCATTGATACTCTGATAAGAGAGGTAACTCTTAATTATAAATGTCTATAATTCCTTTATCATGTTGAAATGACATTTTTGTTTAATTTTGCCCTGCAAGCTATGAAAATATTGTTTGTATTTTACTTCTAAAATATATTTCTTAGAAAAAGCATAAAAGTTCAAGCTACATTTTGTTTGAGTAAGCAGAGGGTTTATGAACCTTAAATGTTAACTCAAGGTCCATCCAACCAATGGTAAAAACATTGGTAACCAAAAAGGTCTTTACAAGGAATTTAAAAGTGACACATCAAAGCCTTTGCACCAATGTTCAAAAACTATGGCAAGGATAAACAAATAGAATTACATACAGATGAACAGACAAAATTATCATATTGCAAACCCCAAATTCTATGATTTTAGGGGCATAAAAACTATTTTAAAGGATTAAAAATTGTGTAGGAAAAATATTTTGTAGCAATTACTGGGCCCGGCTTTTTCTGAAATCTACCTCTACAAAACATACAGAGGATTCAAAATGTGATGGCCATAGCATTTAGACACCGTTTCATGCACAAAGAAGAGCCATTTACAGCATTAATACCTCACAACCTCTGTAGACAGCAGAATTCTGGACAGTGTCTATTTCAGGGCTCAATGGCTGATAGGAAGTAATATCCTAAAGAAGACATTAAAATTATAATCAATACAAAATTAACTTAATACTTGTAAAATCATTTTCAATTC